TGAGGACTAGAGCCTTTTTATAACCTACTTGGATTATTTTGTTTTTACTGTACTAATGAATTACTGGAATGGAACTGTTGTTATTCTTTTTAATGGCTTTTTATATTTTTGTAAGGTTTTGAACACTTTTCTATTTTTCATATTTTCTTTGCCTCACTACAGAGTTGTAAATAACTAACACAATGCTTATTTACTTGCCTTGACTTAGTTTGGTTTTGATACCTAGCAACATGCTTATTTTCTTTAAATAAAATAATGATTATAAAACTCAATTGGTTTCCTAAACAGTGCACTTGTCCTAGGGTCATTTGAGAGTGCTGCCTCGGCCTAGCATACTTAAGGAGTCCTGCCAGTGGTGCAAGTTAAGTCTAAGGACTACAAAGCCCACTTGATCTTTTCACAGTAATATCTGAGAGTACAAGGGTGTTCTTATGTGGGCAGACCTGTAAGATGGAGTGTTGTAGCATGGCTAGCTGAACTTGGACTCACTCAGCCCATTTTAGCGTGTGCAAACTCCTGATTACTCTCTGTCCAGGCTTACGCGGATGTTTTCGAACTCTGTGTTTGCTTACAAGCAGGAGAAAGAAAAGGGCGGGGCCTTACCCTCTAAAGCCACCCAGGCTTTTAGATGGTTTCATTTTAGCTGGGAAATAGTTATTTTATTAATTGCAATAATCTTTGAATATGTTCTGGAATGCTATGTTTAAGCAACAAACTGATTTTCTATGAAACTTTATTTTTCTAATTAGAAAATTTAATCTTAAACTTGTTGAGGACTGGTCTCTTGAACAGCAAAAGGTTAGCCTTAATCCAGGAGGTGGAAAGGCCACAAGATTGCTAATAGACAGAGTTCTACCTCACTGAGCTATTTTGAGTTCTAAGGAATCACAAAGCCCAGGTGTCTGTACTTGCTAAGTAATAAGTAAGTGCAAAAGTGTTCTTTTTAGGTCAGACTTGTTCAAAAGGGTCTATGCTACACTCTGCTGGAGCTTGAAGGACTCAGCCCAGTGCAGAAAGAGGTAGATAAAGGCCTGGAGACTCTCTGCCCACCTGCCCACTGATCCTTTAGGGGACCGTGTGCATGGCACTGGGTACTGGGGCATAATTGTCATTCTAACTTTCCATAACATAACCTCCCTCTGAGACATTGCGGGAAATTATAATGGTAGGCACCAGCCTTTCAGATAACTTCCAAATTTGCTATATATTAATATCTCCTTAAGAAAATGTTTTTTTTTAATTTGTTTTTCAATTTTTTAAACTACAACATAAATATAAACATAAAATACATAAACCAAAATACAAATCAACTGTGTTCCCCACCACCATAGTCTTGGTGTAATCCTCTTCTTCCTCTATCTTTATTCTTCCTCTTCCTTTATTGTCCTCCTCTCCAGAACTGCATTGATTCTTGATTTGGAGCTTTCCCTTTTCCTCTTCTTAATAGATATTCAAGAAATCTGCCCCATGTATCATAAAATTTATTCTTTTTCATATCTCCTTTCTTAACCTTTAAGTCACAGCTTATCTTGTCATTTATAGCAATGTTCCATATTTCATTATACCATTCTTCCATTTGAAATTCAAACTTTGATTTTCAAATCCTCGCTATTATTAATCTGGCTGCTGTTAATAAATTGGTAATCAATTCTCTAGTCATCATATCGTATTCCACATTCTCAAATATTGATAACAGAGCTATCTCAGGATTAAATTCTGTATCTTTTTCACATACAGTGGTGCCTCACTAGACGATTACCTTGCAAAATGGTTAATCCGCAAGATGATGGGTTTTTGCGATCGCTATAGCACTTCGCAAAACGGTTTTCCCTATGGGCGATTTTCGCTAGATGATCTTTCGGTCTGTTCTTCACAAGATGGGTTTTTTTTTCGGGGCGGTTTTTCGCAAGATGACGAATTTGACAGCTGGGTCCACGACTTGCAAAACGGTTTTTTAAGGGACTTTTTTTTGCAAGACAGCAATTTTGACAGCTGGGTCTGCACTTCGCAAAATGGTTTTCCTATGGGAGATTTTTGCAAGATGACGATTTTCCCCCCATTGGAACACATTAAATAGATTTCAATGCATTCCAATGGGGAACTGCATTTTGCAAGACAATGTTTTCGCAAGATACCGATTTTCATGGAAAGAATTAACATCGTCTTGCGAGGCACCACTATATATTTAGTCCTTTAAAGATTAGTTTCCAAAATCTTTGTACTTTTTCGCATTCCCACCACATATGAAAGTATATACCAATTTCATTCTCACATTTCCAACAGACATTCAGATAACTAGCATTAATTTTATTGTTTTATCAGTGTCATATACCATCTTAAACCCAATTTGAAAAAAATATATTTTATTCTCACTGACATAAATCATAAAACCCTCATTTTCCACATCTTCCTCCATTCTTCATTATTTATTCTTTTTCCTAGGTCTTGTTCCCACACTACAATCCTTCATTCTCAGTATCTTCTTCTAGATCTAGCAGGAATCTATAAATTTTACTCACTGCACCCTTTACTGAATTGGTCATCTGAATATCTTCATATGATTATATAAGTTGTTCATACTTTGTATATTCTCTACCTTTGTTATACTTCTTTATCCATTCATTAGTCCATCTTTCTAACTGCATATAATTCAACCATGATATATTCTTATTTTGAACGATTTGTTTCATTTGATCTTTCAATCTCATTTTATACAATCAGTCTTTTAATCTAATCACTTTTTTCTTTAACTGATTCTGCATAAACTTTCATATTGGCAGGAAAATTTTATATGTCAGTCACTAATCCTGACGGAGAGTTAAACGGATATAAATTCTTTTTATACTTCTACCACACATTTAACATAGTATTTTTAAAGGGTTAGTAATTTCCTTTATTTCATATGTTTTAATTATAACAAATAGATGTTTTTCAATATCCACCTGTAATTCTGATGATTCCATTTCACACCAAATTTCTGGGTTATATATAATTTCCCCAATAAACCTCAACTGATTGGCCATGTAATAATTTTTTATATTTGGTATGTCTATACCTCCCTTTTGTTGTTGTTTTGTACCAATACGTTTTATTCATTCTGGCTCTCTTCCCTTCATTACAGTATCTATTGATCATTCCTTGCCAAAGTTTAAAATGATCTTCTGTTAACTGTACTGGTAACATTCTAAATAAAATATAAATTTTTGGTAGAATCTTCACTTTCATCAGTGTGATCCTTTCAAACCAAGAAAGTTTTAAGT